CAGCAGGAAGACTTTAGGCACACTTTAGGTACCTGAGCTGGTAACTGCTGTGAAGGCTCTATTAGGAGCTTGAGAATTCAGTGCCCTCCTTTTTGCATAGAAGATAGAATATTCATATGAGAATTAATAATAAAAAAAGACTTTATAGGTGATTATGTCATGCTGCATCTGTTAAGATTCTCTTTCACTACTTAGTGTTCCATGCACAAGTAATATCCATATCTGTGTGGCTTTAGGAAGTTTTCTGTAACATTTTCGGAGCTAGACCTGCCCTTCAATAAGCATTTGTATGTGGTCACCTACACAGAATTTTGAGTCTCATTGTAAGGTTAGATCTGATAATGAAATATGTCCTTCTATGCATGGTCTTACAGCATTACAAGCTGTTTTACATCTAAGCTTCTTTACTACCTCTGGTCTTTTGCACAGGAATGAATTCAACAATAAAGAGCCCTGGTAAGATGGTAAGGCAACAGATCTCCAACCTCAACAAAAAAAAAAAAAAAACAAAAAAACAAAAAACAGAGGGGGAGAACCAAAAAAACTCCAACAGATTCTATGGAGCCTTTCAGACTTCCTTCCCATTCTTGCAGTAGGGTAGTTTAAGAGAACTGAATTGACTGAACTTCAAATACTGTCACTAACAAAATTTTATCATTGCAAAGAACAAGTTTTTTTGGAAAAAACAGTAGGTGAAGTATGTTTTACTTTCTGAAATGGATGAGAGATGCTTTTGGAAAAAAAAAAATCACTTTTCAAATATTTTGCCAAAGTTGGTTTTTTTGGTGTAAAATGCATAGAACTAAAAATGCGATGAACAAAACTTCTGAACAGCCCTGGCTTTTATGAAGCAACAATGCCATTTTCTTAGCTGTGGTGTTTCTTCCATAGAGTATTTTAGGATAAAATATATTTTCTGTTACATATGGGAACTTTACGAGCCCTGATATCTGACATCTAGAAAATATCTCGCGTTTTTTGCAGATTCTGAACTATTTTGGAAAAGTCAAAATAAGAACTACATTGGTAACGAAAAATGAACCCCCAAAAAAGCCACACCCTCATGATCTGGTTGGAAAAGACTGCAGAGATGGCTACTACGAAGCAGAATTTGGGCCAGAACGGCGAGTCTTGTCGTGAGTAATGGTGTTGCTTGGGACTTTGATTAATTATGCAAGTGATTTGCTAATCTTACGTTTTGCAGCTCTGTGTAGTGACAAGGGCAATTGGTATGCTCTTTGAGGTTTATTAATCCATCTCAGAGAGAGGGCAACTTCTCTTTGAAGTATTTTGTTCTTTTTCAATACTTCACTCACTTATCTTTGGTGCTGTTCTTCTCTAAGCACCCTTTCTTTTATTTGTTCATTCTCCCAATGTCTGTCTCCTTTTCTCTTCAGTCTTGTTCAGTAACACTTTTACTCTTGAGTGTCACTCTCCCTGCATGTGAAAATGGTGAGTAATAGAACAGGTAATGACATCATTAGAATTGGAACTTCAGGGTGAGAAGAGATTTAGGGAAGTTTGCATCTTTCATGGGAATTATATTTGGACTTTCTGGCAACTGTTGGAGAAAGTCTGTACTGGCTGAGTATCATGTCATTTAGAAGATAGGGGTCATGACACATCTAGAAATGTGTTACTAGCTGTTGCTGTCATTGCTGTTTGTTTGGGTTGGGTTTTTTTTTTGAGTAAAAGTACAGATTCTGCTCAGGCCCAGCTCTGTAGAGCAAGCATGCTGGGGATGGATCTACTTGTGGATGCAGTAAGGAAGATTCAGGCTCTGTATGAGACGCATTTCTCAGTGCTATTCAGAGGAATATTAAGAGTATCTGAAATACAGTTGCATTTGATGGCATTTCTTGTAAGTTTACTAAGTCTTATGTAATAAAGTAAAAGCAGAGTAAACTGCAACAAATATCAAGTGATTATTGCTGGAGAGGGGAGTTTAGACTTTACAAGCTCTTTATGCTTCACAGTTTGCGATGCAGTAAACTTGAAAGTAGGCTATTGCTTTGAGGTAAATGTAACAGAGCTGGGAAAAAAATAAGGTAAGTATTTCATTGTTTAAGTGGCTCTGACACACTGCTCTTAGGCTGATGTGATTCTGTTGATGTTAGTGAAATTACTCCATATTTATGTGGGTTTAGTCAGAGCACTATTAAAGGAGAGAACTGAAGACACGGTCTGTTTGAAGATGATGATTGCCTGATGGTGAAATAAACAGTTGTTAACAGTGGAGATGCTTCTTCAACATACAGCCCATGCTTAAGTGATCATGAATGTGCTGCACCTGAATACAGGTGGCACGTAGAATGTTGACTGTACTGTCTTTTGCTGTTACAGATGGTAATAATTTTATTAGTTTATTGTCTTTAGCTCTGTTCACACTGGTGTCCTAATTAGCAAATGGTAGAAAAGGATTAGTAAATGTAATTCCTGTAATTTTTCCCCTGCTTTTGGACCTCTCTACCAAGGGTAGGGCTGTCCCTTCAGGCACTTGCCTTCCATCTTTAGTGTTGTAACCTCATCCTCCATGGCTTCCCTGCAAAGAGAGTTCCCCCTCACCTTGTCTAAAAGGCAATTGGAAATATCTTAAACTGCTGAGGGACCTTGCACCTTCCTCTGACCATCCATTCACCAGCTTCTCCATTGTTTTGCATCAAGCTTCCTCACCCAAGGCCAAAGGATGTCTGCTGTTCTAGCCCATCCATCCCTCTTCTTGTTCTCAGCTCTGTGCCTTCTGATCCAAAGCAAAGAAGTCCGATTGCTTAATGCCTTTTCTGGTTATGTATTACGTTCACTGAGTTCAGGAAGACGCTGATGATTGTTTTTCCTCTTGGCATTTTTGTTGCACAAGATTAAGTATGTAAGCACAAGGCAAGCCTGTAGAGAGGCCATTACAGGATGCCAAAAAGCATTGGGGTGCCCTGCAAATACTTAGTTACAGATTTTTATTTCATCTCCACTATATGCATGCATCACATCTTGTTCTTTGACATAATGCTGTGTCTCCATTTCACTTAAGGCACTTGTTATTGCTGTATCCATCAATTCTTCTTAATACCATTAAGTTATAAGCCTCTCAATTTCTCACAAAATACTAAGTGGGCTACTTTCACTTTACTGATAATGCAAAACTGTAAGCTTCAGTTGAGCTTGACATTGGAGATTCTGATGGGAGGAGGCTCGAAACATTCTCTTTGAAATGTTTCCAGCATCGGTACACTCATTTTTTTTTTAACGAATCATTGAATACTTTATAAGATGAAAGAACAGTGTGATCCATAATTGGATCAGGATGTTTAAAGTAATTTTCCTTTTTGTGGCTGGTGACTCAGTCTTCACATTCTTTTCAAGTCCAGGTTGGAGAAGAGCTTCATACAATACTAGTGAGCAGGAGATGTCCTTTCTTGGTAGTGGTTCTGGCTGTTTACTCTTGCTGAGCATCCCAAGCAGAGCAAAAATCCATGGGGTTTTTGTTTTATTTTGTTTGATTTTTTTTAACTTTTTTTCAGAGCTGGAATTATCAAGCCCAGATTTTGGGCTGGTCTGAGTAATTGCTCTGCTTGTTTAAAGTTCCCCACGTAGTTCCAACTGAACAAAGTGTTCTGTTCTGCCTGTGGTGTAAAAATCTTTGTACTGCTGCCTAAACCTGATCAGAGACCTCCCTGGCCAACACATCAAGGCAAAAGTATGAATGTTGGAGCCTGTGTGACTGCCTGTATACTCAGATTTTTACTTCCTACTTTGCTATCTCTCTACATGGATGATATCATAGGGTTTTTTAAAATGTTTTTCTTTTTTCTCTCTCTTCCTATTTCTCCCTCTCTCTTCTCGGTATCTTGCTTGCTTCCTGTCAGCTAGCGTTGATGTGAAACCCTGCAGCCTTGCTGAGGTTCTCAGTAGTTTCTCCTCTAACCCAGCCCTCTGTTTAGTGATACTTAAATAGATACTTTCACTGTGACAGCGTGTGTTTTAGAAAATGTTTATAAGCTGAGAATTACAGGGCATTTAAAAGCTTGGTTTCCCTCCATATGAGGCTTCGGTTGCAATGGTTGAAAAGGTTCAGAGTGGCGGCTGTCAGTCCTTGCGTAGCTGGGTAGAGGTTTTCTTCAAGGCTGGCTCTGCATATGAGCTTGCTTGGTAACTTATGACGGATGGCTGGGGCTGCCAGATGGCAATTTGGGGATATAATAAGGAATCAGGCCTGTTCATGAATGCGAAGTGTGCTTCAAACTGGATCTGTGGAATACAGTGGCTGTTTGGGTGGGGTGGGGGTGGTGTGTGTAATATGTGCTGTGATCAAGCTCTAAAAACAGTAGGATCTACAAGAGAAGATAGAAATAGGATTGCTTATGAAGGTGCAGAACAAATGTTGGAAGTCAGTCTGAATTGAAATGCTACTGCGTTTTATTTTCCTCTAGGTCACTGCATCAAGTTCAGGTTCAAAAGGAAGCTTACACACTTCTCTAGTGAATAAAGGTTCTGGAAGTGGAGCCTTGCAGAGTTACTGATTGCAGAGTTATTTGGGAGCCTCTAAACAGAGTTTATTGGATGCAGGCAAGGGATTTTAAGGAAATTAAATTTAAATATTGTGCTAGGATAGTCTTGTTTGGAGCAGGGAAATGTAGGACTATTCTTGAGGGTGTTGGCAGGAATAAAGAGTACCTTTAGGTGCATTAAGGCATTTTTTTAGGTACAGCTAAATCAAAGAACATTTGTGGAGTTTCAAAGGAAGGGAAATTGCTGGTACTTCTGGAGAAAGGTTGTGCCAGCAGGCTTCTATCTGATCTTAGTGTAACATCATGAAACATGGATTTTTTTTTTTAAGATTTTTTTTTAAGATTTTTTTTTTACTTCCTGCTTTACATCCACTCAGCTTTGATGATGTCATGGTTTTTCCATGTGGGAAAGAGTCAGCTCGCCTGGGACTCCCCCCACCTCCTATGTTGGGGTGACCTGCACTCTTATGCAAATAAAGAAGAGCTGCAGCTCTTCAGAACTTTTCCATAAATACATGAGATTTAAAACCTGTTTAGACCTGTTTCAAAAAACCTTTGAAACAGTGTTTGAAATTTATTGTCCCTGATAAAAACAGGAGGGCAAATCCTTAACTAATGTAAATCAGCAGGTTTATTGATAACAAAAGTAATTGTCACTTTAAATTATCTGAGATTATTTCTTTTTTTAATCACCATATGCTTACTGCAGGGTGACAATTTTTAATATAGAAATATATATTCTTTAGAATTTTTTTTTTAGTATTTTTCACTTCTGGTTCTGCTCTTTCTTTAGAAAAAAACTGCATCCTTGCTTTTCACATCTTTTGTATCCTTTCAAAATAAGCTGCTTTAATATTCTACATTGAAAATTTTATCAGTAGCTGAAATCCTGCCACATGTGCTTCAGTTTTCAGAATTTGGGTATTCAGTGTGTAAAGAAGAAAGACCTCAAGGAATCCATTTCTTTACGAATCTCAAAGAAGATTAACCCTTTCAATGGTGAGTAGCGCTTAGCTGGTTCTCTTTGCAGGGTATTGGCGGGGGGTTGTTTGTCCTGCCTTTACTTTTGTGGAAGGAGCTTTATTTTTAAAAAAAAAAAAAATCTTTTTTGAGAAACATCCTTTCCCTTCTGTGTCCCTCCTTGTCTTTCCTTGCTGTCGTCGCATGATGCATCTATTTGGATAGTTGCCTTTTTTTTAAATCCCCAGCAGCAATGTGAGTTGTGGCTTGGACAGAAGCAATGGGTTAGCAGCAGCAACCTTCCCTGGAAACTTCTGCAAGTATCTCAGCAATCAGATTCTCCAGTTTTGGAAGTATGAGAATGAAAGACTGAATTAGCATAACTCTGCAACAACTTAAACCAATATAAATGTAGGTTGCCACTGCCCCATCCTGTTCCCTGTTGTGACACTGATGTTTGTGACCCCTCAGCCAGGCAGTTCAGGAAAGCATGGGAGCTGATGCAGGCACTCAAGCAAACAGCAGAGGTGCCCTCAGTAAAGTCTGAAGCAAGCTGTGCTGCTACAGAGCCACACTTGAAGGGCCTGCCCACGGGCTCTAGGTTTTGTACGACAGCTGCTCTGTGGGCTGCTCTCAAAGAGTCATCCTGCTCTCCCCTCCATCCTTGGTCATGCACTTCTACTGCTCCTGTCACACCAGATACAGAGGCTGTGTGGCTGCGCGGTCAACGGACTCAGCAAGTTGCTCCAGTGGAAAACCAGCTTTCAAAAAACTCAGAAGAGTGGTTTCCCCTCAGAACAACTTGCTAAACTGATTTGTTTCACAGTCACAGAATTGCCAAGTTCAATGCTCACAGGGGGTGGGGGAAACAGAATAAATTGTGGGGCCAACTGGAGTGGGACCAGCACTTCCAGCATGCAGGCACAACTGGGGGGAAATTAGGTGAAAAGTGTAAACCTCCCCAAACTGTTAGCTAAGTGTTATTAGGAATGCAGTTATGTATTTGTTTAAGTGTGGCAAGAGCTTGGAGATTTTCCGAATAGGTGTGGTTTTGTTGTTGTTTTTTTGGTTTTGTTTTTGTTTTTTTTTAATACCCACAGAAGTCTTGCTAAATTTAGGTAAGACCCTTCTTAGAGAATTGACAACTGCATTTCTGGCTAGCTTCAAAATACATCCTTTGCTTTTGTCCTTAATTGGCACAAAAAGAAGCATGTTGAACTTACTGCAGAATGAGAAAATTTTTAGATCACTTTCTAAATTTTTAGAACAGCCATTTGGAGTCAGGCTGGTGGTCCTAATGGTCCATCTAAACAATTATCCTGGTTCTGATAACGTATGCACACAATAGTATCTGTTTTTACATGAGTTTTGTCCATTAGCACAACTTAAACAGTTTGTGTTTCAGTTGTTCACCTTGACTCAGCCAGCTCTACCTTGATTTCACACAAAAAAGGGGAACTCTTCTGTTCAGCCCTCTTAGCTTTTTTTTTTTTACTCCATAAATAAAAAATGAGTTGACACTTTCTCTTGATGTGCAGTAAAAGGACATTATAAAATGCCTTTTTGTACATGTATTTCACCAAAGAAACTTTAGCAACCACATAGTTACACTCAGCCACACCAGAAACAGAGCTAACAGTGAGGACATGTTTAACTAAAATAATGTGACAGTAGGTTTTTACAGTGGTTGGCACATAACTCCAAATTCACGAGTCATTTTTGGGCGATTACTGTGGGTTGCGCTCAGTAGCATCAGGTCAGATCCTGGGCTGCTTTCCACTAGTGCAGCAGCAGAGGAAAGCCCTGCCTGGGTGACACAGGACAGCACCTTGCTCTTGGCAGGGCTTGTGCTGAGAAGGGGCTGCTGGCAATCCCCAGCCTGTGTGATTGCCTTTTGGCACTTGTAAACGTTTCGGCACAAAGCAGAGTCACTTTGAGAATGGTCTCTAGCTGCTCCAGGGCAGTCCCACACTAAATAGAGCCAGAAAGGCACAGGACCAAGGTCTCATAAAACAGCATTAGTGACAGAAATATTTTTTTTATACGTGTACTTAGTTGATCAAAACAAGGTTTCGTTAGCAGCAGTCGCCGTAATATTCGCTGCTTGATAAGATTGAAAGTTTTATGTATGGATTTAGTTTGTTTTTTAAGGTCAGAAGAGTATCACTACATTCTCCAAGACTCTGCAGGCTGTATTGTATCCGTCCTGCATCGTGCTTTATTTATTGCATCTTCAGAAAGGCATCCGACTTTTCTGTTTAGGGAAGTTTCGGAGTTAGGTGCATCCTCTAAGCAGGTTGTGGATTAGTGTTACTCATTTCACGTATGAACATCATAAAAGAAATTTAATGGAGCTGAAAACTAGCCTTCAGGGTGTTTGTGAGTTGGTTGTCTTGTCTTTTCTTTTCCCACGTTCTTCTGGAACAGTCAAACAATCCCTGTCTTGAGTCTCCTTTTGGGATAGAGGTTTGGTATTGACCCTATTAACAGATGCAAAATGCCTCCAGCCTGCCAGCATATATATTACTTGTCTTGTCAGTAAGGGATGAACTAATAGCAAGGTGTGGGTCCACAAAGTTGCGATCCAAACTTCTTTGTGTAAAGGGGCCATTGTCTTTCAGGGAAGCCCAGGTGGGATGACTCAGGCAACTGGGATGGCAATGGGAGAGTGTGCCCAAATATGCATTCTCTAGTGGTGTCGTACTTCTCCCATGCCTTCCGGCACTTGGTAGGGATGCACACTGAATAAGAGTCACAGTAAGCAACAGTAGGAAGTTGCCTGGTCAAGATTTATGTTTTTTTTTAAGATATTTGTCTCCAGCATTTTTGCCCATACTATTAAAGCAACTGATGTCTACCTCCAGACTCTCGGATGGTAAGAAGTTGGTGTTTGCAGGTCATGCTGTACGGCTAGCTGGAGCTATCTGCATCCGAGTCGTTCTGCAAGCATGCTTGCACGGCTGTTTCACTATGAATTCCCTGCTGTTACCTGGTGATATTTATGCCTTGTTAAGTTCTGTAGAAGCTGCACAAATTATGCACATTCACTAGGATGCCAATCGGATGAGGTTGCTCAACTTTGAGAGAGTTGATGTTTCCACCGTCTCTGGACATGTTGATCATCTGCTGTGTTCACAAGGCTACATCCCATATATTTTTGTCCTTTAAGCTAAACAATTCTAGAAATCTCTTTTGTCTCTTATTCCTGAGCACACCAGGGAAATAGTGTGCCGTGGCAGCCTCATGTGTAACTAGGACTCCTTGGCTTGATGAGGATACAAATACAGAGCATCTGAGGAGGAGAGTTACTCCTCCAGCGGAGCTGGTCCATGTCTGCTTTCTAGGGTGTTTGTTTTCTTTTGAGTAGCTGTTGAGTTGTGCCATATCCTTGTCTTCCCATGTAGCGTCTGATGTAGAGCCAACTCAAATTAAAAGAAGAGCGAGTCTTCAGTTAAGTGCTTTTGTGGGTGGGTGTGACTTGACATAGAGACAACAATTGAGTTAATAACAACTCAAGTTAATTATCAATGAGGAAAAGCCCTAAATGTGTTCTTTAAATTTAGGGGAAAACTGTACTTGACAAAGTATTGCAGAGGATTAACCTTTTTCTAGCCAAATGGATGACAGCATGAAAACCCTAGACTTGTCTTAAAGTGAGGAACCCAAAGAATTGCCAGATTTCGAGCTATTGATAAAGATAGTGTAAATAGGCTTTCACTGGAGCTCGACGTGTGCTTAAGGTCCTTGTTCCTTTGCAATTGCTCTTGCTAGCAAGCATTTAATTAATTTTTAGGCTCTCCCCTGTACCCCACGACTGACTGCTCCATTTGCCTCCGCAGTCTTTCCTTTGTTGTTTCCCCTTTCCGCCCGCGAGCAGCTGACCCCGTGTTGGCTTCGCACTCGTCACAGTCTCCACGACACCCCCTGCACGCCTCCGCACTGCACCCAGGCTCGTCCCCACACCAGTCACACTCGCTTCCTGCCCAAATGCGCACACAGCCGCCCTCTCCGCAGCTTCCCTCGCTGGTGGCCCCCCCCCCCCGATGCTGTTCGCCCACGTCAGCCAAATTCTCCAGGGATCCCCCCTCTCTGGTCCACCTGCTGTATAGGGGGGTTTATTGGGCCATGGATTATGTAAGCAAATAAGCAAAATATTATAAACTGAAAGAAGACCCTTGGCAAGAATTAGGGAGTTGGGAAGGGTAAAGCATTGGAGTGGTCTGTAATGCATGCCTCAGATGTTAAAAGAAACTTTAAACTTCTGTCCTTAAGTTAAAACAAACTTATAACTCCCCCAACTAAATTCTCATACTGAAAATCTTGGTAAGTGAGAGCTGTCAACTTTTTAAGAGGCACAAAGCAAATCCACTTGAGGAAAGCTGAATGTTCTGATCATAATGTGACTTCAGCTTTTACCTTTGGAAAGCCCTGTGTGTTTTCATTCCTCATGCAAATGCTGCTCGTTGTTTATGCTGAAATTTCAATATTAACCTAAAGGACAGCCACTTTTCAAGTTGTTTAAAAACTAAAAGGAAAATTACCAAGTAGAGAGACAAAAAATGCTGATGACTTCTTTTGCACTATAAACAGGAACTGCTGAAAAATGTCTTAGAAACATACAGGGGCTGCTGGATACATTTGCTTAAATCTGTTCCACTTTAACCTTTTTGGACTTAAAACAGTAAAATAATCCAGATTCAGAGAAACACTGTCTAGACAAAACAAAGACTGAGTTTCTGAAATTTTCATTTGTGTTCCCAGTTCTTCTCTTAGCTTTTGTATCAGGCCAGGCCATTCACCTTCCCTGTGCTGATTTCTTCTGTAAAACAGGGATGGTGCCACTTTCATGTGCTGAAGCAGCCTGAAAAATGCACGAAGGTAACATAGCCATAGTACTTTGGGCATTTACCAACAGTAGGTTAGCATCTGAGTTTTACAGTCATTTGCACTAATCAACCCCCTGAGTTTTGGCTTCTTTAAAATTGTTTATAGGTACCTGCAAAGGTTTCTTTTTTCTGCAGAATTTATTGAAATGTACC